GCTCCACAACTAACCCTAACCATAGCTCCAGCCCTAACCCTAACCCCTTGCCCAAAGTCTCACCCTAACCCTAACCGTCGGACATGTGCAGCGCCACCTCTGGTCAAAAGCGGTAGGACACCCCTTTTTGCAAAGTCGCCCTCAAATGACAGGAAATGGCCTGAAACGTGCTCACAATGCATTTTCAACAGTTCCAGACAAGTACAACACTTGCAAACACTGACTTTGGCCATTTTTCCGCTCCCATTCATTTTCAATGGGAAATTTTCATTTCGCCATAACTTTTGATAGGAATGTCCGATCGCTGGTTCATTAGTATTTCTAGATTCAGCATACCCGAAAATAGGGGGGTAGACCAAATCTCAGCCCGGTTCATCATTGGGAAAGGCAATGAACCGGCATGTCAAAAGTGGCACATATCCCTATATCCTAACCCTAACCCTAACCCTAACCCTAACCCTAACCCTAACCCCTAACCCTAACCCTAACCCTAACCCCTAACCCTAACCCTAACCCTAACCCTAACCCTAACCCCCTAACCCTAACCCTAACCCTAACCCTAACCCCCTAACCCTAACCCTAACCCCTAACCCTAACCCTAACCCTAACCCTAACCCCTAACCCTAACCCTAACCCTTACCCTAACCCTAACCCTAACCCTAACCCCTAACCCTAACCCTAACCCTAACCCCTAACCCTAACCCTAACCCTAACCCTAACCCTAATACTGACCCTAACCCTAACCCTAGGGGTCACTTGAAACCTAACCTCAGGATTAAGATAAATATATCATGCATTAAAAAACAATCAGTGTTTAAAGGGTTAACATAAGATAAATATATCATGCATTAAAAAACAATCAGCGTTTAAAGGGTTAACATTCAGAAACTAAATAGAGTACAAAATAACACAAATTATCCAAGAAAATTCAGTAAATTATTTCTCCAAGGGTATAAAAGGGAGAGGGGAACAGGGATAATTTCATTTTTATTTGGCTGCCTGCTGGGGTAACCCCTATGAATTGGGGCCCAGCAGCCATTTTTTTTTTTTGTGCGCATGACCTGATGAAGACCCAAGTAGGGTCGAAACGTCGTCGACGCGCACAATGTATGTACATAGTTCATGTGTGATCATGTATTGTTTGTTTGTTTGTTTGTTTGTTTGTGTGTTGTGTATAAAAACAAAAAAATCCTAAAAAAAATGGAAAATATTTAAAAACAAAAACAAAAATCCTAAAAAATTGGAAAATATTTAAAAACAATAACACAACACATTAAAACCAAGTCAACAACAACATTTATTAAGCACAAGTCGTGTTTCCTGGGGGACCGGGGGAGCGTGTCCAGTGGGCGAAGGCCCGTGCATTCCCCGCTCCCCGCAGACCCAAGTAGGGTCATTCTAGGGGAGACGGGATTCTTTCCCAAACCTAACCCTCTCGTCAACAACGCTGTGCTCGCTCTGTCTGAGCAAAGCAACAAAGTCTTTGTCTTCATCGATCTGATGTCTGACAGTCAGTCAGCTCTCCCGCAGGAGTTGCAAAGAAAATACGTACTGACTCGGCAGGTTGGCACAGGGGTGTGTGGTGAAGTAAAACTAGCCTTCGAGAGATCCACCTGCAAAAAATTTGCAGTGAAAATAATAAACAAGAAGAATTTTCAGTCTGAAGGGACAGCAACGCGAAATGCGGAGACAGAGATTGAAATTCTGCAGCGAGTGAACCATCCTTGCCTCACAAAGACAGAAGACTTCTATCAGACAGAGGACAGCTACTACATTGTCTTGGAGCTCATGGAAGGAGGAGAACTTTTCCAAAAAGTGAAGTCCCAGGGGCAGCTGAAGGAGTCAATCGCCAAACTTTACTTTTACCAGATGCTGAGAGCCGTCCAGTACCTCCACACCAATGGAATAATCCACCGAGACCTGAAGCCAGAGAACATCCTGCTGTCCTCACACAATGATATCTGTCTCATAAAGGTTACGGACTTCAACCAGGATAGGAGACAGGAGGTGCACGGTCCATCCCCCTGTTCCCCGTCCCCCACGACCCCGTTTGGTATTGCTGATTATTAGTGCGGTACGGGCGTCGACCACGCCTTTTCCCGTACCGCACTTCAGTCCAGTCTTGTTGCTCATAATTCATGATTGTTTTTAATCTTTTTAATTATTTATTACTATTTATTAATGTACTGTATTTATTAAACTATGTATTTATTTATTTGTGTATTTATCTATCTATTTATTAATCTAATGAAATGAAAAAATATTTAAAACAAAAACTGTATATAAAAAATGAATTGTTCTTTAATTTTTTTATGCTTTTTTTGTTGTTTTCTGAAATCAAAATGAAATAAAAGAAAGAAAACCAAATAAAATGCCTATGAGGAGGAAGAAATAAAGAAAAGGTGTGATAAAGAGTGCCCAGTTGCAACGTTTCGACCGCTGTGGGTCTTCTTCAGGCTATGGGCACAAAAAGAAACATGTCCGGACTTGTCTGAGTATGTCTGTGAGATGTTTGCTCTTCAGGACACATAGGAGAAGTGGGAGCCTCCTAACCTTAACCCTAACCCTAACCCCTAACCCTAACCCTAACCATTAGAGGCAACTTAATGACCAACGGCCAAGCAGGCCACAGAGGTCAAAGGTCAAGCAGGACCGTAACCCTAATCTTGGGATTAAAAAATACCTATTAATATGTTTATTAAAGCACAAATATGTGAATAAACATAATTAATATGGATTAAAAGCACAAACGGTGCAGAAAGGGTTAACATTTCAAAAACTAAATAGAGCAGAAAATAACTTAAATATAAGTAAATTCACTCTAATTATTGTCTGAGGGTATAAAAAGGGAGAAAAGTTGGTAGGGCTTTCATTTCCACTCAGAAGCTTGAAGAGAGAACATCTTTAGAATTACCAGCCAGCATCTTTTGTTTTTCATTCAAGAGAGAGTTTTTTTGTTGAGTGAGGTGTGCCAGACCTGAAGAAGACCCACAAGGGGTCGAAACGTTGTCGTGGGCACACATATTTGATTGTACATAGTTTATTTAGAGAAAAAAAGTTTAAAAAATAACAAAAAAATCTAAAAACATTTAAAAACTAGATTAAAACTTAAAAAACATTTAAAAATATTTAAAACCATTTAAAAACAGTTGGAAATACATTTTATTTTAATTTTTATTAAAACAATCAGCATTTTGTTTTAAGAAAAGTTTAAATTTGAAGTTAAGTTTCCTTTGAAGTTAAGTTTCCTTTCCATATGAAGTTAAGTTTCCTTTCCCTTTAACCCTAACCCTAAAAAGAGCACAAAATAAAATTGGAAAATTAAGAAATTCATTGGTATTTTTCACCAGACACTATTAAAAGGGAGAAGTAGGCAGGGTTTATTCATTTCTATTCAGATGCTTGGAGAGACAACATCTCAGCTATTTATCAGCCAACAGCTTTTTGTTTTTCTTATTTCAACCAGCAGCTTTTTGTTTGTCAAAACATTGTCTTTGGCACACAGTTTTATTTGTAAATAGTTCATCTCTATTATTTGTTTTTCTAAAGATGGAATTTGATGACATTGCCACAGAAAACAGTCAGGCCGTCATTGACGCAGCCCTGCCTTTCAATTACGATGTTGAGCGCTTCCTCAGGACTGAGGAAGAGTTCTACATGCCAGTCCACGCTGCCTTCCACCCAGATCCAACCTCCCTGCATCTCTCTTGGGATATTGATGGGGTAATTTTAGAGGTAACCACATTTGCCGCTTTAAAGGCACCCATGCCCTACATTTACTTACCAACTTCTCACCACAGCTTTCCAGCTAAGGCACAGTGGCCTTTTTTAAAAAAACATCTTCCCCTCAGGGAGATGTCAGCTGAGGTGATGAAAGAGTGGAGGCGGGTGTATGGGGTCAACCTGGGCACAGCCGAAGGGGGCTGGGTCATGATCCTTTCCCTTGTCCCAGCTGACAAGGTTATTCCCAGCAACATACTCATATCGGAGGCGGCTGCTAAAAACCTGACCGAGGATGTGGCAGCAGACGTAGCCAGGGCAGTGGTCAGCCAACTTATAAATCTTGGTCCGATGGAGATGACACGCTTGTCAATCCAAAAAAATAACATATTTGAACTTGCAAAGTTCAGGCTCTTTCGGGATGACCAGTCAATGTTCCTGGCTTTAATAGACACAGCCATTGACTCCCTTGAGCTGCCAAATGGGGTGGCTGTTCTGAGGACAGTGGGACAGCTTGGTGGGCAGGAGTCAAAGCCCATCATGCTCCTGGACATCCTCTCCTCCATGGACCACATCAGGTCCTGTACTGTTCATGCAGCATGTTCCATCCGGCATGTTGACCCAGATGTGGACCTGATGTGGTCCAGATGGGGGATTAATAAGCTGGCGGGTTCAAGGGGAAATGTGTTCAGCAACCTGTCCATCCACGAGGCGGCTAACTACCAATCAAATTTGGACGGGAGGCCCATGGATGTAAACCAAAAACTGTGGTCTTTGTTCAAAGTTGGGAATGTTAGTCCGACACTGAACTTCCTCCAACTTTATTGTGACTGCCCACACAGACCCCAGTTCCCGTTTTACAAGCACCCCATTAGTGGAGTTATAGCCTGCTGTGGACTTCTCCACAAAAACTCGACAAAGGCTATGGACAAAAGGGCAAGGGAATACCTTCAGCACTTTAGGGACCTGAGTGTTAAAGGTATTTTCCACCTCCCAGCTCGCGTGGAAGGGGTTCTGCTCTTCACCCAGGACATCCCTCACACTCTGTCGAGCTTCACCTTGATGGAGGAGAAGGCCCTCTTGGATCTGCTCAGCCAAGAGGCCATGCTCCTTCCATTCAAGTCAGTGGAGGGAGATGGCATTCGGAACCTCCATTTTGCGGTGGTGGACCACATTGTGGACAGGTTGGGAGAGCTGTTGACCACATCGGCTCATGGGGGGGCTATGAGGAGAGTTGGGAGGCCTTCCAGCTCGAACTGGCCCTGGAAGAGCACTTCCAC